TTACTCACAATTGAGTCTAAATTTAAAAACAAAATAATCAAATGTTATTAAATATTCTAGTGTTCCTAAAAATTAAAGTACTTCATAATGAAGATTCATTGGTCCAATTGCATATCCATCCACTGCCGTCCAGCATACTAATTTTTACCTGAAAATTGTAAATAAAGAAGGATGTGTATAACAAATTATACTCAATGAGATGCTTGCTACTCCACATTCAAATCAAACGTGAAATTATGTATAAATTCTCTTACCAACATAACATGAGAATTATCACACCATGACAAATTATAATTCAAGCAAGTGCTGCAAAATAATGTGAAGGCAAAATTGTGCCTTAAAATGTATCATGATTTTTCCCGAAGAAGCCCTGAACTGAAGTAATTAAATCCATACATAATAACGTATTTGAAAGCTATGGAAAAACCACTAATAGCACTGAGCACATCACCTTACGTAATGAATCTTGTATTATAATATGCACTTGGAAAGCAAATTGTGAGAATTTGTTTGCTGAGATTTTTCTCTTGGTTGCTTGTGAAATTGAATAAAATATAGTAGACTGCTTTGGGTATAAAGCGTTAGTAATATAGAGGAAAATTTAGAGAGGAAGAGAATAAAGTATGGTAGAATGCTTTAGGTATAATGCCATATATATAGTAGACTAAAATACGGGGCAGAGACCGAAGAGTAGTCAAGCTAAGATTGGAATTCTAAAATTTCCGTCCACTTTTTCTAGAAATTGGTTTGGACTCCTAGACTCCTATATAATTTGATTGGAGATTGACTATTTGTTTTGATAAGTTCCAAATCCAATACAATTTTAATAAGGAGACCCAATGACTGCATATCCTGTCAACACGTGGAAAAGTAAGGCGAATTGGTCTCCTAATTGCATATATTATACTTGTTTTATTCTAACACAACACACAACTTAAACAAATAACTAATTTATCTCCTACCTTTGATTAAATCAAAATAAATGACTGAAAGTTTCCATGCCAATCTATACGACTTAACTAGTTTAATTAATTAGAGTCCTAATTATTCTAATACTAAAATTATTAGGAAACTTTATCATAATCCGAATCCTACATGATTAAGAACAATAGTTTCTATCCTAATTAAAGTAGATTAGCATTAAAAAGGAATTTAATAGTTTCTGGAAAATTATTATGATTACATTTTAATCAATTATCTTTAAATTTCATAATTATCAATACTTAACATATATTATTCCTAGTGGCCGAGAATTGTAAACTGTATGCATAGTAATTAAATTAGAATTTTATTTATACCTTGATTCTTCCATTGGTTCCATCTTAATTCAACTTATCCAAAATATCATTTTCTTAATCCTAATATATATAATTAATTATTATCTATCAAAGGAGTCCAATATTGATATAGTAATTTAGTCCATGTTGTAACTAATATTATTAACTAAGTAGTTTTCTTAATTGGCTATAACTCGAGTTTAACTTGACCAAATTAATTTTTTCTTGAGTCCATTATTCACCATTTATTACGAGCTTCAAAATGAGCCCAATATTGATAGGGTAATTCTTACTCCTTCAACAGTTAACTATTTGGCCCATTTAATAAAAGAATATTTTTGATATTTATTTTCACTTCGATCCCTCAACTATAAAGATATCCACATAGATCCAAATTAACTATAGAGGTAGCCAATTAACTTGCTTAAGGACTTAACTAAACATTGCATTCCTATTAAATGGCAAATAAATTATATGAAAAACTAAAAAAATTTCGGGATTTTACAACCTACCCTCCTTAACATAATTTCGTCCTCAAAATACCTTATGTTAGTTGAAATGTTCGGGATACTTGATTTTCATCTCATCTTCCTTTTCCCAAGTTGCTTCTTGCACTCCATGATTACGCCATAGGACCTTGATTAAAGGAATTTTCCTGTTCCTCAGTTCATGAATCTTTCTCTCTAATACCCTCAATGGCATTTCTTCATAGGTTAAATCATGTTGTACATCTAAATTTTGATGGTTGATCACTTGACTAGGATCGATCTTGTAAGTATTTTCGCAACATTGATACATGAAAAACATTATGTACTGCTGAGAGTTCTAGTGGTAGTGCCGATCTGTATGCAAAATCTCCAATTCTCTTTGATATATCAAATGGTCCAATGAATCTGGGTCTCAATTTTTCCTTCTTTCCAAACCTAAGTACTCCCTTCATTGGAGCTACTTTTAAAAATACTTTGTCACCGATTTGGATTTCGAGATCTTTTCTCCTTCTATCAGCATAGCTTTTCTGCCTATCCTGAGCAGCCTTAATTCTATCTCGAATCTTATCCACATCTTGTACTGTTTGATCAACGATCTCGAGTCCTAGGATCCTTCTTTTTCCAACCTCATCCCAATAGATGGGTAATCTGCACTTCCTACCATATAATGCCTCATAAGGTGCCATGCCTATAGTTGCTTGAAAACTATTGTTATAGGCAGACTCTACTAAAGGCAAGTGTGTTTCCCAGCTGCCACCGAGATCTAGTACACACGCTCTTAACATATCTTTGAGTGTCTGAATTGTCCTTTCAGATTGTCCATCAGTCTGTGGGTGATATGCAGTACTAAATTTCAATTTTGTCCCCATAGTGTTTTGTAGACTTTTCCAAAATTTTGATGTGAACCTCGGGTCTCTATCTGAAATAATAGAAACGGGGACCCCATGTAACCTGAATATTTCTTTAACATAAACTTGTGCATATTGTTCCATAGTGAATGTCATCTTAACTAGAAGTAAGTGGGCCGACTTTGTAAGACAATCCACTATTACCCAGATAGCACTGTTTCCTTTAGCTGATCTCGGAAATCCTACCACGAAATCCATGGTAATGTGTTCCCATTTTCACTCCGGTATATCTAGTGGTCTAAGCAACCCTAAAGGTCTTTGATGTTCTACTTTCACTTGTTGACAAACCATACATTTACTTACAAAAATTCCTATTCCTCTTTTCATGTTTCTCCACCAAAATGTATTTCGAAGGTTCGATACATTTTCGTACCGCCTGGATGTGCTGTATAAGGGGTGAAGTGTGCTTCTTCAAGAATTTCTTTCCTTATACCCTCATCTTTAGGAACACATAATCTGCCATTATACATAAGTACCTTATCCTTAGTTATTGCAAATCCCTTTCGCTTATCTATCCCAACTTCAGCCATAATTTTACACAAAAATGGGTCATTCTTTTGGGCTTCTCTAATCCGTTCTCTAAGAGTGGGTTGAACCATTAGAGCTACAACAATTGCTTTCTGTACTGAAGGTACAACAACCTCCAGCCTCAATTTATCAAATTATTTAATTAACTAGTCTTGAGTGGTTGGAATTGTCAACTTACCAGCTACTTTTCTACTAAGAGCATCAGCAACTACATTGGCTTTACCTGGGTGGTAAAGAATGGTGCAATCATAGTCTTTGACCAATTCTAGCCATCTTCTTTATCTCATATTTAACATCTTTTGAGTAAAGAAGTATTTGAGACTCTTGTGATCCCTCTATATTTCACATTTTCCACCATAGAGGTAGTGACGCCATATCTTTAGAGCGTGGACTATTGCTGCAAGTTCTAAGTCATGTGTTGGATAATTCTGCTCATATGGTTTTAATTGTCTAGAGGCATAGGCGATGACTTTTCCATGTTGCATCAACACACATCCCAATCCTTGTTTAGAAGCATCACTGTATATAACAAAACCTTCTGAACCGTCTGGTATTGTCAATAATGGTGCTGAAACCAATCTTTGTTTCAATTCTTGAAAACTACTTTCGAACTTATCCGACCATTGGAACTTTACTCCCTTTCTAGTTAATTGTGTCAATGGACCAGCTATCTTAGAAAATCCTTCAATAAATCTTCGGTAATAGCTAGCTAGACCCAAGAAACTACGAACTTCACCTACATTTGTTGGCCTAGACCAATTTTTTATGGCTTCAACTTTAGCTGGGTCTACCTCAATTCCTTGAGCAGTAACCACATGACCAAGGAAGTCAATACGATCCAGCCAGAATTCACATTTTTTGAATTTGGCGTACAACTTCTCCTTTTGAAGAGTATTCAGTACCACTCTCAACTGTCCTTCATGTTGTTGCTTATCCTTTGAGTATACCAATATACCATCAATGAAGACTATAAAGAATCGATCTAGATATGGATGAAAAACTCGGTTCATCAAGTCTATAAACACAGCTGGTGCGTTGGTTAAACCAAATGGCATCACCGTAAACTCATAGTGCCCATACTGTGTTCTAAACGCTGTTTTAGGAATATCATAGTCCTTTATCTTGAGTTGGTAATAACCTGATCTCAAATCTATTTTTGAGAACACCTTTGCACCCTTCAATTGATCAAAAAGATCCTCTATCCTTGGGAGTGGATATTTGTTCTTTATAGTCAAATGATTAATTTCTCTATAATCAATACACATTCTCGTTGACCCATCTTTCTTTTTAACAAACAATACCGGCGCTCCCCATGGGGATACACTAGGCTGGATGAAACCCTTATCCAATAATTCCTGTAGTTGTATCTTCAACTCCTGTAATTCTTTTGGTGCCATCTTGTAAGGAGTCTTAGATATTGGTGCTGCCCCAGGGGTTAAGTTAATAGTGAACTCTACTGGTCTATTTGGTGGTATATCGGGTAAATCTTCAGGAAAAACATCCACGAACTCATTAACCACCGGTACATCTTCTATTTTTCGTTCAGTTTGAGGCTTACTAATAATATTTAATAAAAATCCTTAACATGTATTCTTTCTCAACATCTTTTCTACTTTCATTGCAGACACCAATTGGGATAGAGTCCCGATTCTTGTTCCAAAGAATCAAAATTCTTCTTCTCCAGGTTTTTGAAATAAAACTTCCTTCTTACGGCATAAGATGGTTGCATAATTTCTACCCAACCCGTCCATACCCAAAATTACATCAAAGTCTTTCATTCTCAAAAGGTACAAATCAGCCTATAATACTTTTCCTTCGATCTCTAACTTAACATCTTTAACCATTTGATTGGTATTAATCACTTCACCTGATGGTGTACTAACTTCTAAAATGTTATTCATTTTTACGAATTCATTCGCAATCTTATCCATGAATATTGTAGAAATAAATGAATGAGTGGATCCAGAATCCATAAGGACAATAGCAGGTACGTTAGATATTGGTAACATACTTGTTATTACGTCTATGTTCTGATCCTCCTTTTCTCCTGTCAAAGCAAATACTCTGGCCTTTCCCTTCTTAAGCTGATCACATTCTCTCTTCTTCTCTGGACATTCTCTAAGGAAATGACCACTCTTACCACAACTGTAGCATACTCCCTTTCCCTGAAGACATTCACCCAAGTGTCGCTTGTTGCGATTGGAGCATTGAGGAAAAGTTTTATTTGAGTCTAACCCAACCTTTCTTTTCTTATTCTGATTCCTGCCTTTCTCCTTATCATGACCTTGCCACTTTCTCTTTATAGAAGACTCGGTGCTAGGTTGGGTTTTCTTTTCCAGTCATAAACCATTAGAGATTGCCTGTGCTCGACGTACAACCTTCGCATAAGTAGTATACTGCTGGGCTACCATGATTCCCTTAATCTCTGGCCTTAACCCCATTTCAAACCTCTTAGCCTTTGTCAGCTCAGTGTTTACCATATGCGGTGCATACCTAGAAAGTTGTTCAAATTTTCTTTCATACTTCCCAAGTGGCAAATTTCCTTGCGTTAGCGGGAGAAATTCTACCTCCTTTTGATCCTTCAGTGACTGGGGAAAATATTTACCCATCAACGACTCCTTGAACTGGTTCCAAGTGAGGTTACGTTGTTGTTCTATAGTTCTAGTATGCATTTCTGACTCCCACCAATGTCCAGCATCATCAGTCAACATAAACTTCGCACAAGAAGCCTTTTGAGCATCGTTGCAGTTCATGTGCTCGAAGATCCCTTCAAGTCTTCTTAGCCACTCCTCAGTCGCAAAAGAGTCACCTTTACCGTCAAAGGATGGGGGTTTAAAACGACAAAACTGTTCAACAATCGAGCTCATGGTATTGGCAACTCCTGTTGCATTATGAGGTGCTGCTTGAGCCTACTGCCTGCCCAAGTCTTGCACTGCCCTTAGTAAATTCCTGAACATTGTAGCTTGATCTTGTTGTCGTCGTGCCATTTCCTTGAAGTAAAAGTAATTTATCTTAAGAGCTGCTCAACCATACTACACTCTTCCTAACGGTCTTTCTATATTTAGTCATGTCTTTCGTGTATGTCATGCTGAGGCCAAGTGTTATGCATTAAGGTTTTAGTCATATGAAAATTATTTTACTAATCAATCCTACACAAAATAATCATATGCTTAATTAATATTCTCCTTTGAAATAAAATGACATGCATGGAAAAACTCATGAGATTATGCAATTAATTAGTATGCACTGAAATATAAATGGCAATATCAATAAAAATATTCTTCATCTTGCATACCTTAAAAATATTGGACAGTGGTAGATTGATGAGTATTGGATTCCACGGATCTCGTAACTTATAAATTTTTGTAAAATTGTTTTTTTTTCTTGGTATAAAAGTTTCTCAAATGAAAGAATTTTCTAAAAATTTGAAGTGGGTTCAAAAAATTGTTTTTCATCTTATTGATTCGAATAACGAGCAACTAAAAAGGCTTCCAGGTGAGGAGGGGCGTCACACAAGTGGACCGCTTAAATCCCAAGCTTGCTTTAGACAGTTTAGGTCTTTTTGACAAAACCTCTTAGTTTTACGAATACTCAAACCAAGAAAACTCACACAATGAATTCCCAAAAAAAAAAAAATTAAATATATATAGTTTTTTTTCTTGAAATTAAAATTTTGAAAAAAAAATCAACAGGAAAGTAAACCTTTGCTCTGATACCAAGCTGTAACGCCCCAAATTCTAGCAACCCGAAACGTTACGAAACATGAATTTTATTAAAGTGCTTGAAGCAAATAAATTTTAATATAACAAGAAATTCAGTAAAATTGAAACAACATTTAATAAAGTTATTAAATTTAATAAAAATATGTGCAACATTTTGGAATCATATCAATAAAAATAGTTCTAACAAATAATAAGATTAGGACTAATTGAAAATTATGACGTTACTCACAATTGAGTCTAAATTTAAAAACAAAATAATCAAATGTTATTAAATATTCTAGTGTTCCTAAAAATTAAAGTACTGCATGACGAAGATCCATTGGTCCAATTGCATATCCATTCACCGCCATCCAGCATACTAATTTTTATCTGAAAATTGTAAATAAAGAGGGATGAGTATAACGAATTATACTCAATGAAATGCTTGCTACTCCATATTCAAATCAAACGTGAAATTATGTATAAATTCTCTTACCAACATAACATGAGAATTGTCACAGCATGACAAATGATAATTCAAGCAAGCGCTGCAAAATAATGTGAAGGCTAAATTGTGCCTTAAAATGTATCATGATTTCTCCCGAAGGAGCCCTGAACTGAAGTAATTAAATCCATACATAACAACGTATTTGAAAGATGTGGAAAAACCACTAATAGCACTGAGCACCTCACCTTACGTAATGAATCTTGTATTATAATATGCACTTGGAAAGCAAATTGTGGGAACTTGTTTGCTGAGATTTTTCTCTTGGTTGCTTGTGAAATTGAATAAAATGTAGTAGACTGCTTTGGGTATAAAGCCTTAGTAATATAGAGGAAACTTTAGTGAGAAAGAGAATAAAGTATGGTAGAATGCTTTAGGTATAATGTCATATATATAGTAGACTAAAATACGGGGTAGGGACCGTAGGGTAGTCAGGCTAAGATTGGAATTCTAAAATTTCCGTCCACTTTTCCTAGAAATTGGTTTGGACTCCTAGACTCTTATATAATTTGATTGGAGATTGACTATTTGTTTTGATAAGTTCCAAATCCAATACAATTTTAATAAGGAGACCCAATGACTGCATATCCTGTCAACACGTGGAAAAGTAAGGCGAATTGGTCTCCTAATTGCATATATTATACTTGTTTTATTCTAACACAACACACAACTTAAACAAATAACTAATTTATCTCCTAGCTTTGATTAAATCAAAATAAATGACTGAAAGTTTCCATGCCAATCTATACGACTTGACTAGTTTAATTAATTAGAGTCCTAATTATTCTAATACTAAAATTATTGGGAAACTTTATCATAATCCGAATCCTACATGATTAAGAACAATAGTTTCTATCCTAATTAAAGTAGATTAGCATTAAAAAGGAATTTAATAGTTTCTGGAAAATTATTATGATTACGTTTTAATCAATTATCTTTAAATTTCATAATTATCAATACTTATCATATATTATTCCTAGTGGCCGAGAATTGTAAACTGTATGCATAGTAATTAAATTAGAATTTCATTTATACCTTGATTCTTCCATTGATTCCATCTTAATTCAACTTATCCAAAATATCATTTTCTTAATCCTAATATATATAATTAATTATTATCTATCAAAGGAGTCCAATATTTATATAGTAATTTAGTCCATATTGTAACTAATATTATTAACTAAGTAGTTTTCTTAATTGGCTATAACTCGAGTTTAACTTGACCAAATTAATTTTTTCTTGAGTCCATAATTCGCCATTTATTACGAGCTTAAAAATGAGCCCAATATTGATAGGATAATTCTAACTCCTTCAATAGTTAACTATTTGGCCCATTTAATAAAAGTATAATTTTGATATTTATTTTCACTTAGATCCCTCAACTATAAAGATATCCACATAGATCCAAATTAACTATAGAGTTAGCCAATTAACTTGCGTAACGACTTAACTAAACATTGCATTCCTATTAAATGGAAAATAAATTATATGAAAAACTAAAAAAATTTCGGGATTTTACAGAGATTACTAAGGGTCTTGAGGGAACACAAAACAGCCATTGGGTGATCTATAGCAGACATTAGAGGAATCAGTTCGTCGATATGTATGCACAAAATCTTGATGGAAGAAGAGTTTAAGCCAACAGCGGAAAATCAACACAGATTGAACCCCACCATGAAGGACGTTGTGTGAGCAGAGATATTGAAACTCCTTGATGCAGGCATCATTTATCCGATTTCTGATAGCAAGTGGGTTAGTCCAATCCATGTTGTTCCAAAGAAAGAGGTATTACAGTGGTAAAGAGTGAGAATAATGAGTTGATACCGACAAGACCAATCGTGGGATAGAGAATATTATAGACTACAGAAAACTGAACAATGCAACTAGAAAGGATCACTTTCCTTTGCCCTTTATCGATCAGATGTTGGAGAGACTAGCTGGAAATTCACACTACTGTTTCTTGGATGGGTACTCAGGTTACAATCAGATTGCAGTAGCTCCAGAAGATCAGGATAAGACTATATTTACATGCCCTTATGGTACTTTTGCATACAGATGGATGCCATTCGGGTTGTGTAATGCCCCTGCCACTTTTCAACGATGCATGATGGCAATTTTTTCAGATATGGTGGAGAAAATTATTGAAGTCTTCATGGAAGACTTTTCAGTGTTTGGTTTATTATTTGAAAATTGCCTCTCAAATTTAGGAATGGTCTTATAGCATTGTGAGGAAACGAATTTGGTGCTAAATTGGGAGAAGTGTCACTTTATGGTACATGAAGGAATAGTACTTGGGCACAAGATTTCAACAAATGGTATCAAAGTGGATAAAGCAAAGATTCGGGTGATAGAGAAGCTTCCTCCACCAACTTCAGTTAAGGGAGTACGTAGCTTCCTCGGTCATACAGGGTTCTACAGGAGGTTTATTAAGGACTTCTCTAAAATCACAAAGCCGCTCTGTAACTTGCTTGAAAAGGACACACCATTCAACTTTTCTAAAGAGTTTTTGACAAGCTTCAACACTCTGAAGGAAAAGTTAATTTCTGCATCGGTTATAGCTACACCAGATTGGGACCTTCCATTCGAGTTGATGTGCGATGCTATTGATAATGCAGTGGAGGCAGTATTGGGTCAAAGAAAAAATAAAATTCTCCATGTTATCTACTACGCAAGTAAGACTTTGACAGAGGCACGACTGAATTATGCAACCACAGAAAAGCAGCTATTGGCCATTGTGTTTGCCTTCGATAAATTCAGATTATATCTTATGAGACATAAGGTTATTTCTACACAGATCATGCGGCCCTGAAATATTTAATGTCTAAGAAGGATGTGAAGCCCAGGTTGATTCGGTGGATACTTCTCCTTTAAGAGTTTGATTTGGAGATTTGAGATAAAAAGGGGTGTGAAATGTGGTAGCAGACCATCTTTCTAGACTCGAACAAGCAGAACAGAAAGACGAAGGTGATATAAAGGATTTTTTCCCAGATGAGCGTATCTTTGCAGTTGACAGTGGGCCATGGAATGCAGACATGTTAAACTACTTGGCTTGTAATGTGCTTCCTCCTGAGTTTACACACTACCAAAGGAAGAAGTTCTTTTCAGAGATGAAGTATTATCATTGGGAAGATCCCATCTTATATAGGAGGGGTGCTGATCAAATCATTCGATGGCGGGTACCAAATGAAGAGGTTTCTAAAATTCTAGGGCGTTACCACTCTTCTGCTTATGCTGGGCATTTTGGGTATTCTAAGACAGCAGCAAAGGTTTTACAATTAGGGTTTTATTGGCCTTCACTATTTAAGGATGCACATGAATATGTAAAACACTATGATCAATGCCAACGTACAGGGACAATCTCCAAAAAGAATGAGATGCTTTTAAATTTGATTCTAGAAGTGGAGCTCTTTGATGTTTAGGGGATCGATTTTATGGAACCATTTCCTTCTTCTTATAAAAATCAGTATGTGTTGGTGGCAGTTGACTATGTATCGAAATGGGTAGAAGCAGTAGCAGCACCAACTAATGATGCTCGAGTGGTTGTGAATTTTTTGAAGAAGAACATATTATTGTGCTTTAGTACTCCTCGAACTATCATCAACGATAGCGGTAAACATTTCTGCAACAGGCTTTTCGAATCAATATTAGCAAAATATGGGGG